GGGCCTGCTTTGCCATTTTAATGAAATACCTATTATTAAAACATATGGTTAACATGGATATAGTAAAAATTATAGTAAAAATAATAAGGCACATATCAGAAATATAATCCACTTGTAATTTTTCTAATTATTTTGTTCCAATTAGTACTAGTACTTAGGAATTTCAACAGCCAGAGGGAAGAAATAATTATAATTAGGATAGTATTAAATGGAAAAGCCACTTACCTGTATTTTCCGTTGAATAAGACGACCCCCAAATTTTACAGTTAAAACATAGGTGTAGGCCTATATTCGCTGTATAAGACTACCCCCCACTTCCGAGGCAACACCATTTTTTTTTTAAATATATATTTTATTGATTTTTTACAGAGAGGAAGGGAGAGGGAGAGAGAGTTAGAAACATCGATGAGAGAGAAACATCGACCAGCTGCCTCTTGCACACCACCTACCGGGAATGTGCCCGCAACCAATTTACATGCCCTTGACCGGAATCGAACCTGGGACCTTTCAGTCCGCACACCGACGCTCTACCACTGAGCCAAACCGGTTTCGGCACTTTTTTTAATAGACTGCCTCTCTGACTCTGGCCAATCTGAGCAGGCTTTTTTCGTTTCAAAAGTCGTCTTATATGCCGGAAAATATGATAGACTTTTATTTTTGACTACCATCTGCAGCTGGGTTTATATATGCTGGGCCTTTCTGAATTCCATATGAGATTCAGGTTAAACAAATGTGAGTATACTATGTATCAATGCAAAAGGTATTTGCCAGTAGGGTAGTTCAGTGCTCAGTCCAATTTTGAATAATCTGCTTTCCTTTTGAAGCTGAATTTTGCACATTGAATGCTTTTGACTCTAAGAAAAAAGGGAACCAACAAAAGATCTTTTTCCTATTTTGTATCATGTAACATCAATTAAAGTTATATAACTTACAGGTTGTTATAGTATCCAGTGAAATATTACAAGTAAACTGAAATTCACCTGTCATTTATAATGCTAATTCTTACCAATGGCATACTCAGTTTTGTAGGAGACTAATCTGCAACACAGTCCAATCATGGTATGCATTTGGGAAAAAAAACACCTTAAAAGAAGACTTTACTATTCAAAAAGTAATTTATTTTTAGGACAAATCTTAGGGAGTTAGGAAAGATTGCTTTGATATGTTTTAACTCTTGAAAGAGACAATCTGATATTTGAACAGACTGATGGTCATTGGTGCCAATTCAACACCATCCCCAATTTGGAGCAATAAAGAAAAAACACTTTATTCAGTGCAAAACAGCTCAATTGTGATACAACATTACTGGAAAACAGCACAGCTGTGAGGCAGCCCTGGTGTTAGGCTCCTCTACAGCTAGAGAGAGCTCTGCTCCTCACTGGTCTGCTTTGTTTTGCTCTGTTCTGTGCCAGCCTGCTCTGGCCTACACTGGTATGCTTTGCTCTGCTCCAGTGTGACAGCTTCAATTTTTTTAGCTCCATCTAGAAAAGTGCAGTATTTGGTGATCAGGGAAAGAGCTATCAGAGCCAGCTGAGTTTACTTACATAGACAGAAGTTCCTGCCCTTGGTCCCTGATTGGTTCACCCTCATGCAAATGAGGATTCCAAATCTTTGCAGTTTTATTAGTCCACAAAGCACTATCCTGATTAGTCAGAGCTGAGCTGTTCTGATTGGCTAATGAAGCTGGGGTGGGGGAATATTGGGTCTAGTAATATTTAATGTCGTTTTAAACATTCGTTTAAAATCTTGCTTGGCGTTGACTTGTATTGACATAACCTTCAAACACGTGGTATCTACAGAACGTGTGAAGTGCAATTAACAAGTTTTGCTTGAAAAAGTTTGTGTTTGGTTTGGTTTTTGTTGCAAAACTAGGGCTAAGAAGATGGCGGATGAAGAGCATATTCGGCACTGCATGCTTTACGAGTTCCAATTAGGAAGAAAAGCAAGTGAGGCTGCAAAAAACATCTGTAGTGCTCTTGGTCAAGATGCAGTTAGCGCCAGAAAATGCCAGCGTTGGTTTGAGAAATTTCGCGAGGGAAATTTTTCGTTAGATGACAAGAGTGGTCGAGGCCGTGTGTCCAATTTTGATCAAGAAGCTCTTCAAGCTCTTTTGGTGCAAAATCCTCAAATTACCCAACAAGAGCTTGCGACAACTTTAAATTGTTCACAAAAAACAATTTCCAATCAATTGCATGCACTTGGCAAAGTCCAAAAGTTTGGAAAATGGGTTCCTCATAAGTTGACCGACAACAACCGTAATCAAAGAGTCACAATTTGCAGTTCGCTCCTCTCTCGTCAAAACCGTTTGCCGTTTTTAGAGCAAATTGTTACCGGAGATGAAAAATGGGTGCTGTATGTTAATTTGAAAAGGCGGTCTCAATGGTTGGACAAAAATGAGGCTCCGCAGCCCACGCCAAAACCTGACTTGCATGTGAAAAAAGTGATGTTGTGTGTTTGGTGGAATTTTAAAGGAATTCTTCATTATGAACTTTTACCATCTAACCAAACCATTACAAGTGCAGTGTATAGTGCCCAATTGGAAAGGTTAGCCCAAGCTTTAAGAGAAAAAGAACCCGCACTGATTAATCGGAAGGGCGTAATTCTTCACCACGATAACGCACGACCGCATACTGCAAGAATCACTGCTGAAAAACTGCGCCAGTTGGAATGGGAAGTTCTCCCTCAACCTGCATATTCTCCTGATATTGCCTCTTCCGATTACCATCTGTTTCGTTCTTTGCAAAACTTTCTTCTTGGAAAAAAATTTAATAATGAAGAATGCCTCAAAAATGCATTGACCGAATTTTTTGCATCAAAATCACAAGAATTTTACAACAGAGGGATTAAAATGCTTCCTGAGCGTTGGGCACAAGTAGTAGAAAACAACGGCAACTATACTGTTGATTAAATTTTGTTGTATTGTTTAAATAAATTCGATTTAAAAAAGTATTAGAAAACGACATTAAGTATTACTAGACCTAATAGTTGTATAGCTCAGACTGGATGAGGGAAGCTTCAGTTCTACTAGTTGAAATAGGATTCTAGGGAACTCCTCCAGTAGAGCTGGCTCAGACGGCAGAAACAGTGGAGGCTTTTCCCTGAAGTGCAGTTTGCATGAGAGACCCTTATGCAGAAATGGCTGTTAGGCTAATTTGAGCCCCATTAAGTCACCAGGAGCTCTTCTCAATGTGCATCTCCTTTCTCAGGGCCCACACATACTTTGCATTAGCAGAAAGACAACGTTTCCAAGAGAGGATTTTATTCAACAGTTATTAAAATATTGCTCTCATCATCATTTACACTATGTCACTTCTCTTGCTGTCCCTCCTCCCTACTTCACTATGGCTGACTGCCAATTCCTAATTTCTTTTTCTGCTCATCTTCCATTAGGTCTCCTTTTTATCCAAAACTTACTGACTTGAAAACTTTTGACTTTCTATTTGATTTTTAGTTTCAGCTCTTGTTCACTCAGGCCTGCTATGTAACCAGTAGTTATTTAGACTGTGTTTTCTCTCCCTGATTAAAAGGAACTGAGTAACTGCCTCTGTGGTGGCTGCTTGGTGAGGTTATTTTGAGCCATTAGGGCTGAGGGCAGGGTTAGGTTGGGGAGGTAGCTGAAATCAGTTTCATGTCTGAAGCTAATTTTTTAAAAATTAAAAATATATTTTTATTTATTTCAGAGAGGAAGGGAGAGGGAGAGATAGAAACATCAATGGTGAGAGAATATTGATTGGCTGCCTCCTATACGCCCCCTCCTGGGGATGGAGCCCACAACCCAGCCATATGCCCTTGACCAGAATTGAACCTGGGACCCTTCAGTCCGCAGGCTGATGCTCTATTCATTGAGCCAAACCAGCAAGGGCTAATCTTGGATTTTAAGTGTCATATGTATTGCAATCTAATTCTCAATAATAGAATTAATGGGTGTAGTTAACATATAATCTCTTTATTATTAGAAACAATTCTGAAAAAAATACATCACTGACTTAGGAGGGACAGAATTTCTTTTTACTCTTTGTTCCACATTTTAAAAATTACATTGTCTGCATTTTGAATTAAGTGAAAAGGTCAAAGGTCACCCTTTGTCCTTCATATCTCAAAAACAAACCAATTTTTAGTTTGTAAATTTCAGGTACAATTGTAATTCCAAAATCACCATGATATAAATCAAACAATTCTGCCAGATTAAGGATAAAGAGGAGAGAAAAATCTTACTATCAGAAAGCAGAAATACTTACCTGAAATAACAGATAACCTTGAGAAGTTATCAGCTGAGTTTTAAAACCACAGAACTTTGAATATAAGGTAGTAGTGTGCAAATGGCTAATAGACAAGTTTAATGAAAGCTATTATCAATTCAGAGTAGCAAATGGACCACTCACTGAGCAAAATAAGTGGTCTACCAAAGTCTTTTAATTTAACAAAATTACTTGATTCCCCCTTTCATAGAGCATCAAGGAATCAGATGGGGAAAGATGGAATAACAAAATATTTGCAAAGGGTATACTGATAGCAGGAAAGCTTTGCATGGTGAATGGAAGAGAGCACAGAAGTGAATAATTGATTCTCATAATATTTAGATCTTGATCTGCTTCCAGCCAATGGACTATACAATAAGTTTTTGGTTCTTCTATTGTTTTCTTCTTGCATTCCAATAGGTTTCACATATCCTTAATTTGTTTTACAGATCACTGATTTTCCTTTGGAATAAGCCGATGTGGCTAAGGGAGACCAAAAGGTAATTAATAAATGTTACAATAGCTTGGTTTTAAGGTATTGGTGAACAACTTCAAGACATTTTCATAGAACATTGTGTTCTCAAGGTACAGTTAAAATGAAACTTCCCATTAGGATAATGTAGAGGATGAAATTCTTTTAGGAAAAAGTAAAAATCCTAAGCTTGCCTCTATCTGGCATCTTCTCTCAGGCACTGAGATTGCAGCCATCCAACAAATGGGGACAGGCAGAATGAGACTTCCAAAGTCACAAATATACACTATCTAATTTTTAGCAAGTCTGGCAATGAGATCTTTCCATTCTCCTCTCTTCTTTGTGATGTACATAGGAGTGAGTAGTTGCAATAGTGATTCTGGCTCTTGTCTAAAAAAGTTATGACACAAGGCTTCAGTGTTACATATCACGTACATCCCACAGTCATAGCTGTTTTGTTGAGCAGGGGCTTTCTCTTCCACAAAGACTAGTTTGTCTCCTTTTCTACCCAAGAAAGCCTCCAACTTCTCTGCTACCTGCTTTGCATGAATTGAGTTGCTTCTGCTATGGGAGTCATAATGAAAAAAGCTATTTTTATCTTGGAGATAAACCAGCAAACTCCAATGGGTTCCCCCAGCTGTCTGGTTGGAATTATCATTGATGGCTAAAAATACAACTCTCTTGTTGGGGACGTCCAGGGGTTCAAGAAACATGGCAATCTCTGCTGGATTGCTAGTGCACTTGATGAACTGGGTGACTTCAGGACTGATGAAGCAGACTTGGTCAGAGCAGTCATGAAATTGACTGTTGGCAAAATACTCAAAGGCAAATCCAATAACACGGTCATTGAGCCAGCTTGGAGGATCCAATAGTGATACATCTGATTGCCGCAGTAGACTGTCCATGTAACTCAAGACTACAGGGTCCATCTTGAACTGACCAGGGCTGCTCAGAAATTCTGAAAGCTGAAGGAGAGGCAGAAGACAATATTTAATGTTGAATAAGACACCTGGCTGTCAAATGGGGATGATAAATCATAGCTACTCTCACAGAGTTTTGGGAAAAATTAAATACAATTATAAACTAACAACAATGCCTACCTAAGAGTAAACATTCAGGAAACTGCAGGATAAATGCTTTCTGCTTATAATTAGGTGGAATGAAAACTTGGGAAATTTTCTATGCTGAAACAGTAAGCATGGATTTTTAATTTCTTTTATATATGTTATTAGATTGGTTAAAGTTACAACTAGTGTTTTCCTAAACTCCATGGCATTAACCATATATTTGGCCCTTTAATGAATATGCACGATAACAATGGCAAATTATTTTTATATTAAAGATGAATTTTCAAAGAATCTAAAAAATGTTACTAATTACCAAGGGAAATAGTTTTATTTTCATATTAATTTTCAAGAGATAAAATATTGCTTCCTCTTTCCATAATGGAAAATGACAGTGATTAGAGTTGTAATTAAAAGAAACTGTAATGTGAAGAACAGAAAATCATGAGTGTAATAGAAATGAAATTCATTTTTGATTCTACCCAGCCAAGGGAGAGAGAGGAAGAGAGGGAGAGAGGAAAAGAGAGAAAATATCAACTAATTGCTTTCTGTATGTGTCTCACCTGGGGAATGAACCTGCAACCTAGGCACATGCCGTGAACCAAGAATGAAACCTGCAAGCTTTTTTTTTTTTGGGTGCACAGAATGATGCTCCAATTGAGTCACTCAACCTGGGCAATTGGTGGATTCTTGTAATGAGCCCTGATTGGGTATCAAACCAGCATCCTTGGTGTAAGGACAATGATCTAACCCTTACATTATAAAGTAATTAAATTTTGTGGCACAATTATTTTCATGTAATCAAAACCCTGTAAAAACCTATATAAAAACAAACATACAGTAAATACAGTAAATGAGGTAACTAAGAAAGACCAAAGAGGCTTTTATGTGCATGAAGTATGTCATAATATAAATTACTTCAGAAACAATACTGGGCTGTTTAAGTATGTGTATCTATCTATCTATCTATCTATCTATCTATCGAATGAGATGGCATGAACTAAGATTTTCTTAGGAAGAAAGAATAACTTGAGCAGAAACATAAATTGAAGCTAGGAACAAAGTTAATGAGGCACAGAGCCCATTTGTTAAAAGTGAGCCACAAATTTGGCTCTAAGCTATTTGGCAGCTAACCTAAGAGCATTACGTTAAATATTCACAATCTCAATAAGGTAAACACAAAGCATTTGCTCAGGAGAAGTAAAAGTTTTCTTTGCTTTAAAGTCAGACAGAAATTTTAATGCCCCCCAATATCTTTATAATAGATGAAATTGTTTCAAAGGATTATTCTTCTAATGATCCATAATATTCGGCCTGATGGCAAAATGAGTTAACAGCAATTTACATGGACACTTGGTGCTCAGCTTGTTGCTGATCTGACTTAAGAGTATATGGATATGAAAAGAGAATTACAGCATGTGTACCATGCAAGGCTCCCTTAATCACTCCCCAATGCTGTCAATGATCACTACATAGTGGTGAATGCTAGATTGTACTGCCTAGTAAATACCTGGAGACCTGCTCTCTATGCTGCCAGCTGAAATCAGACTCATATTTTAACAGCAAACCCTACAAGGGATAAAAGCCTACAAGGAGTAGAGTGTCTGGATATACAGGCATCTCACTTTGAAGGGAGTATCACAGGGAGAGCCAAGATTTTGTTCAGAAAATAGTTTGTGATTTATCTGTCTGATTTTGAAAACGTCCAAAACACAGACAATGGGTCAATCAAGGACTTAATTCTATTCCATAATGAGTGACTGCAATAGCTTAACATCACAATTGTAAAGCAAATGGGTTCAGCTGGAATGGTTCGGTTGTTGAGCTTCGACCTATGAACTAGGAAGTTGGGGATTGATTTCTCATCAGGGCACATGCCTGGGTGTGCAGAAGGTAGCCGATTGATGATTTTCTCTCATCATTGATGCTTTTATCTCTCTCTCTCCCTTCTCTGAAATAAATAAGAACCTGTTTTAAAAAATAAAGTAAATGGAATCAAACTAGCCTTTAGAAAATCACCTTTGGTCAAGAAAAGGAACGCTAAACTTCAAATGTGAAGACTTAAATTTTAGACTCAAGTTATGTTACTTCTACAATTCTGTGTGATCATAAACTACTTAATTTCTTGAAACCTGTTTCCTCTTCTGAAAAGTGAGAATACAAATATATAAATTATTTGTCAATGTAAAACGAAGAAACAGAGGTAACTAAAATTAAAAAAAAGTAATATATAATATATCCAGATACCTATTGTGTCTTCAAGAAATTTATGTCTTGCCGAAACTGGTTTGGCTCAGTGGATAGGGCGTCAGCGTGTGGACTGAAGGGTCCCGGGTTCGATTCCAATCAAGGGCATGTACCTTGGTTGCAGGCACATCCCCAGTGGGGGGTGTGCAGAAGGCAGCTGATCAATGTTTCTCTCTCATCGATGTTTCTAACTCTCTATCCCTCTCTCCCTTCCTCTCTGTAAAATATCAATAAAATATATTTTAAAAAATTTTATGTCTTATACTCAATAAGAGAAGAAACCCATAAGGCACAAAAACAAATGTATGGGAATTCAGTACAGAATACAATCATTCTTGGCAAACGGAGTGAAAGGGAAGGAGAGCTCAGATCAGGAAAGATTTCAAGGATAAAGTGGCATAAAAGTGGGCTCTTGAAAGACTGACTGGTAGATGCAAGAAGGGCATTAAGATGGCAGAGAGGCAAGGAAAGCGCCTTTAATTGTGTAGTCTACTCTGGCTGGAATGAAGTGAGAGTAGGTATGAAGGCGAGATTACTAGAAGTTAAGTGGTGACAGACTGAATTCCAGGTGAAAGAGTTTGGGATTTATACTGGAGGAAAAGGTGAGCCATTAATGACTAGCTAAGCCAATGCTTTAGGAAGATTAACAATTCAGCCATAGCATATAGATTTAATTTTTGGAAGAGAAATTGAAGGTAGAGATCAATTAGACTGTTATTAAAAATGAAGATAGGAGGACACTACCTAAACCAGGGGAAATGGTAGTTGGAATGGAGAAGCAAAGAAGAAAATATATTGTAGACAGAAAATCAATAAGTGATCAGAGGAAGGTGGATTACATAGAAAAGAATTAAGAAATGATCTGAGGATTTTAGTTGGGGTGCCTGGGATTTTAGTTGTAGTTCATTACTAATGTAGGGAAAAGGAGATAGAAGGGAACCTAACAAAAGGACCAAGAACCATCTAGAACCATCCTAAGGGATATTCCTTTCTATATGAGGAACACTATGCTTGGCATATCTGAGATACAATAAATGTTTGCCAGAGAAATGAAATGTTTGAAAAAGAGTCAGAAAAAAACAGATTAGGAGAAAAAAAGAGAAATGAGGTCTCTTATGATTTTTGTATTGTTTGTAACACCCCATTTTTATTTATTTATCATATTTTTTGTTTTGTTTGTTTTCAGAGACCTTAGTACTTAGTTTTGGTGAATTGTGAGGGATATTGGGGAGTAAACTGGGGAGACATGACCTCTTCAGAGTCCTATTTGTAAAATCTTCCAAAATATATTATAGTTCTATGTTTTGGGACAGGGAGGCTCTGACTTTGCTACTTGCTATCTATGTGACCATGGACAAGTTATTCAGCCTCTTTTTGAGTCTCATTCTCCTCATCTGTAAAATGAAGTAATAATAAAACCTGGGTTGTTACATGAATTAAAAACAAATGAAAACACTCTGCACAATATCTAGTATGTAACAGGCTCTCAAAAAAAGTTAACTTCCTTCTCTATTACTTATATTTGGGGTGATAATAATATACGTTAAAGATTTTTTGAACATAAAGCATTTGTTTGTTTACATAAAGGAACAAAGTCATCAAGGATAGATCTGGCCAGGGCACAACTCCATTGTTCTTGTGCTTTACCTTTGAAAAAGAAGTGTGAATGCTAAACTCCAGAGAAAATGGTTCTCTCAATCTTAGAGTGAAGCAATGATATTAATGTGTTGTCAGTATACACAAATCCTGTGCTTACAAGGTTTAGTTTATATCTTCCAATTTCTGTAGTAAAATGAAACTAATATTGAATTCAGTAGTATAGAACACTTCCTAAACAAGTTAATTTTTACCAAAGAAAAAGACTGTTTTTTTTTTCATATAAATCTTAAAATCCTTAAAATGCAACTACTTGAATATTTATTATAAAAAGAAGATAATGAAATAAAAATAAAAATAACTTAAAGGGAAAAACTACAATTCAATAATCATTATGATTTCCTGCTGATATAAAAGGAAGAAGCTGCTGATCTAGTAGAGAAAAACACCAAGTTGGGAGTCAGAAGATTTGGAATTTGATCCATATCTTCAATTAACCAGTTGTTTGACTCCGGAGAAGTCATTAAACTTCTGGGTCTCAGCTTCATCACCTGCATACTGCATTATGGACCAGATAATTAGTGATTGTAGCTGGGATTACACATTAGAATCATCTTTGGGAATTTAAAAAAATAAAAACACCCCTGAGAGAGAGGGAGGGAGAGAGGGAGAGAGAAAGGGGAGAGGAAAAAGGGAGAGGGAGAAGGAGAGAGAAAGAATTGAAGGGCAGATAAAGAGCTTCACAGATAAGAAAAAGCTAAAGGAGTTCATCACCACCAAACCAGTATTATATGGAATGCTGAAGGGTATTCTTTAAGAAAGGAAAAAGAAAAAAGTAAAGATAAAAATTATGAACAACAGAGCTCCAGTGAAATCAGCAACTGAAGCAGATTCCTACATGTGATGATCAGAATGGAGTCCAGCATGATGTCTGTACCATCTGCTTGGATGACTATGTGAATGGGGAGAAGCTGAGGCTACTTTCCTGTGCTCATCCTATTAGAGCCACTGTGTGGACCCCT